AAATTAGGGTTAGGGCTTTTTTATACTACCTGATTTTTGAATAATAAAAATTGGTCCCTGATTTTTGAATTCTAATTTTCAAACCCCTGGATTTATGTAATTTCCTCTACATAAAATTTAGCTGACTACAAGAATTGTCAGCACCCACCCACCAGTTTAATACAATTACGCCTCTAAGACCTTTTTTTAGCTTGAGTGGGCTGGGTGACCCAAAGCTTAGTCCCGCACTGAGCATGAATTAGGCCCCTGTGTATCAATGCAACTTATTCGTTTGCTTTTGTCATAAGTTGATTACTCTAAATATCAAAAGCTAATATATTTCTAAAATTCAAATACATTTTACATCTTTCGATTATTAATAAAATTGTAACGTGGTATGACGATACTATGTTTCTGAATAAACTAGTGGCTGCACGTGCAACGTTTATATTTGAGTCTAGATTAGCATGAATAGACCGTATCGAAAAATTGTTACTATGTACTTGGTTTTATGATACATACAAGTGAAATTAAATACTATCGCATATTTATGAAGTAGTGGGAAGCTATTTATGGCAATGAAATTTGACATACTGTAATGGTATGGATAAAATTTCATGGATTAGTTTTCATTTCAATAGGATAAGGACAACATGTGTAGTTTTGTGATTACTTATGTTTACATGGGAGTCAATATTAATTCATGTTGCTTGCATGGGACTCCATAATAATTCATGTTGCAGATGCATGTAGGATGAGAAAACATTCCTGGATTTCTAATCATTAACATATTTTCTTTAAGAGCTTATTTGGTCATAAATAATATATTGATAAGTTAATAAACAGAGATACCAATAAGAATGAATTGTAAATTATATGGCTGTACAACATGGTTGTTTAGATACTATAGGAAGAGTAATATATGTAAGCAACAATTGATAAAAACCAAAATACAATGATTAGAAGCTATGGATACAGAAAATGACACAGTAGCAGTAATATTTCCATTAAGTGACACCTCCACATTTAATCTAGTGATGGATGAAAATATGAGGTTTTGAGAATATTACAGCTTGTTGGTCAATGTCCAGGAGCAAAAAAAGGGCTATAAATTCACATCTACGACAGCCTTTAAAAAACTACTACTGTGACCAGTTGTGGTTCTTTGGTGCAAAATTATCTCATATAATTAACCACTTTATTGGACAAAAGATAATTTCAAACAAAAGAACAACGAAATGCCCTACTGCATTTTTTTGATGGATGCCTGCTTATCTTCATTGCTGGTGTGTTTGTCAACTTTCTTGCTGGCAAGACTTGAGTTATCAGATTTATGGAAAAGTGACCTCTTCACACGAGGAGATGAGGTTGCAAGAAGTGATGCCGAATCTGCATTCTCGATTTCAATTAATGGACCTGCATTTTTCTGTTGTCTAAGTCTTCAATAGCTGGTTCTTTTGCAGTTGAGTCAAGCATGAAGATGATTTCGTACTATGGTCAGTTGAGCTTGATTATTTCTTTACGACAGAGCTGAATTCCGTAGGATTTGGTAGCAACAGTATTGCCTTCACATAGAATGCATGATCTTTATCAATTTGTGCACGAACAATCACACTAAGATTTGGTGCAGTTTCCTGGAGATATTAGAGATGTGTGAGTAGTGATTAAAGTAAATTATTCAGTGATTAAAAAAAATTCAGTGACTCTTACAGTTGCTGTTTTGTCCATTAAAACTTCGGCACGACATTGCAGAATATTTTCAACTGTTTCACCCATAGCTGATGCACTAAGAGATCCAGTTGAATCATGTAGTTTAACATCTATTTGTGCCCTAAAAGAATTATGAGATAGCACTATTAGTGTAATGAATGAGTTGTAAATAGTTTTGGTTGGAGAACTAAAGATCCTATGACCATGAAACTAATGTGCTAGGTGTGTGAATTTTACATTGACGTTTTTTTTTACCTTGGCACTGCCATCGAATTTTGACACTTACAGAACATGCAGTAGTATGTCTCACCGGCCTTAGTAGCATTTGAAACTCTATTGCAGTTATTACAGGACAGGTACCAAAAAGAGGTCTTTTTCATTTAAATATTTGCTTTTGCTTTTACCCAGAAATATTTTTGCTGTAAATGAAGCAGTCCAGATTAAATAATGTACAAGTGTTGTAGATATATAATATAAACTAAATAAATGGATTGTAAATAAATTTATAGAAAAACTAATTCAAGCGAAGCTTGAAATGATTTACCAGAATTAACAGAGCTTGGATGTCTCTAATATTAGTGTAATTATCCTCAGATGGATGTGATAACTTTGATGGTGTAAGTGTGAGATATGGTTTCATCAATGTGATTTCATTCAATTCGTCCAAGTTTTCAGCAATCCTTGCAGATTATATCATTAGTTTAAACACAAAGTTAGTTCTCGGAAAAAAAAAATATTATGTAAGAAGGTAAATTCTATTTCATTGGAAGGCTAAATTTAAACATGTAAGAAACTGGAATATCGGTACTTGAAAACATTGAATGAAAATAGTTTAATTCTGAAAGAAACGAGTAAAAAAATTCAACATGTTCAGTAATTATGGAGTGAAAAGTGGCTAACTATGGAATGCTTAATTTGAAAACCTAAAGAACTTATAATCAACAGTGTACATGTATTGAAAGATATAGTCCTAATCAGGTGAGCATATGTTGTACAGTGAACAATAGTAAAAAAGTTACAAGTTTAGTATAAGGCAGCTTATTTTTCTAATGAATCAAATTAAACTGGAATGCTACAAAAGGTTTGAGAAAAACATATTAACAGTTAATTAAATCTATGTTAAAGTGGAATGTTGGATCAAGAAAGCGACAATTCAGGAGAGTTTAATTTATGTACTGAAGTAATTTCAATTGGTAAAGTGTAATAGAAGATAGGCATTACCATGACTTGAACTCTGCAACTTCATCAAATGGATAGTCAATAAAGAAGCGACTAATGGTTTTTGTAGATAGAGACAGGCCTACATAGGTGAAGGAAAGTATAAATGATTTTTTAGGTTATTTTATATATACATGTAACTATCTGTAAATATGAAATTTTTACTGTAAGAACCAAGTACGCTGCTATATATATAGGAAAAAGTTCAGCAAACAAACCGTTGAAAGATGAAACTTTCAGATGATTTCCAATAAAGACTGGTTTTTTAGCTATATTGTTTGCAATAAGAATGCTTCTTTTCTCCACGAAAGCCTCCCACATTGTTAGAATTACTGTTTCAAACCCGGCATGTACTCTAAAAAATGAATCATATCCTAAATATGCTAGATTTAATGCATAAGAAAATAAACATCAACCTTTTGTCCATAAGAACAACGTCTTGAACATATACTTGCCCGCCAGCTCGTGTATGTATAAGCCTCTTGGGTCGTATGTCAATAGCAATTGCAAGTACAGTTACAATAGAATAATATGTTAGTATGAAACAGTGATGAAAAAAATGAGGAAATGGAAGAAAAAAAATGTCAAACAAATAATGACGATACCTATGTCAGTATCTGTGTCCATATATTTTTCTAAGTCTTCAAATGGAGTGATGTGGAATGTTGAAAACAGTAGTACATCATTTTTTTCTTCTACTTCCTCAATTCTAGTTGTTCCAGAAATAGTCCACTATACATTTCCAGTATACAATTTATAATCACTCTTTGGATGTCTTACATATGCATTTGAGATCAAGTATGTTTTTCCAAGGGTTAGTTCATTTTCAAAAGCTGAAATATTATTGTCCCGAATTGTGGCATGAACTCTATTTCCCTGTTGAAATTTGAAATAGAATTATGGTGAGTTAGTCAACTATCTAAAGTGTATTAAAGATTACACCAGAAAAGATGATGTGAATATATGGCCAAAAAACTCTCTGTACACTAAAATGGCATAACAAGAAAGCAAATGAAGTCTCTATTAACTAAGTTATACCTTTTCATCCATTAGTATGAAGTTCTAGTATTTTGAGGGGCTGTGTTGAGATGTTCTTGCTGGGCTCTTTTCAGCAACAAATACTTTTACTGTCAAATTTCTTTGACCAGGAGAAATATCTGTTATGAGACTGTATTCCTTTGTCATTACTTGTGTGTGATAGCAACTAATAAAAAAGAAGACAGAGATAATAAATGTAAATACAATTGTTTTAAGTGTTATTAAGTGTTTTGATAAATTTAGAGGAACTTGAAATAAATGGCTACAGAAAGAGAACCTGAAATTAATACAACTGGAAAGATGTTGAAGAAACTGGCAAAATATGAAGTTTCTGATGCTGTCTTAGTTTTTTTTTTTTTGAGAAGATGCTAGTGCTAGATATATATAAGCAGGAAGGTGATGAAGTATGTATTACCGTGTTTTATTTTTAAAATAATTAGGTAGTGCACTACACTGTTTGAAGTCAGATAAATATGAACAGTGGTAAGGTGTCTGCAGCATAGGCTGTGTTCGTGTGGCTTTTTTTTTTGTAGTATAAGTGTAACATATTCTTTATTAATCAATCAAACAAACAAACAAGTTAGATCTGTAATGAGATTTGTAATGATGACATGTAAGAATGAGACAGTGGAAAGGTGAGGAGGCTTTGTGTCTTTCAAATCTGACGGGAGCTGGTAAAGCTGAGGGACTGTACTGACAAAGGTAATGTTGCAAGTAAAATGCCAAAGATTTTGTAGCTTAAAATCGTCAAGTACAGCAGGAATGAAGTTTCACTGGTTCTTTTTTGCATTTTATATTAACAAAGCTAGATCGACTCAAGGAAGGTGATGAAAACCAAGAAATTGAGATAAGTGATTGGAAATGTAGACACATCATAAACATATTACCAAATAAAAATATAGCCTAATTAAGGAAGGAAGAAATACTTGCAAAATGAAGAAAATGGGCCAAAACCACGAAAGAATCATAAAAGAAAACCAAAGATCTATCCATGAAAATCAAGAAATTACTGGAATACTCTGCAAACAACAAGCTAGATGCCCATAAAGCATTATCACCAATAAAGAAAAATTACAAGTCACCTGAACAAGAATTAAACATGGAAAAAAAATTAAGAAAACAATAAACTCCAATAAAGAAAAATTACAAGTCACCTGATCAAGAATTAAACATGGAAAAAAAATTAAGTAAACAATAAAAAGATGAATATTAATAAGCTAATGTGAAACAGATGAAATTTGAAGTGTACGAGACAAATCCCTAAGAGAAATGAAACAGAGAGAACGTTCATCACTGCAATAGTTATCTTGGTGGGCAGAAGGAACAAATGTACTGAGAAAATGGAAACAAATGAAATAATGAAGAGAGAGATTGAGAAAGAGAGCAGGCTTCGTTGTGTTCAAAATGGAGGAAAATGAGAGATTGAGGAAGAGAGTATCCAAAAGCAATGCAATGTAAAATTTCAAACACCAACCTGAGGAACCCAAGCTTTAAGATTTCGATTCCATTTGTACTTAGCTCCGTCATCATCAGTGAAATATTCCTCTCCCTCAGGTGGTGTTGTAGGTCTTTCATTGTCATTTATGTTTGACAGAGCCTCTACTTCTGCTTCTCTCGCCTTCTTTTGACATTTTTCAAACTCATCTTCTTCATTAGAGGTGATGGGGGCTGAGAGAAGTTTTTTTTAAAAGAAATTGAATCTTTAGAAACATTTGTTAAGAGTCATTATTAGTGAAATTATTTGGGAAAATCTGACATCACCTGAACTTGAGTAATCAGCATCTTGTTGAGGTGAGTGAGTCAACAACCCAGGAACCGAGGATAGTGGCTACCAATCGCTACATCCTTCTGACCACACAAGTGTATTCCAGTAGAAGTATCCATTTGAATAATGCTCTGTCCAGATGAATTAAACAAGCTTAAGCTTATATGATATTAAAGCCATTAAGGCTATATAAACATCATATAGGTGAACTGATTGTCCCAAAACCAAGCCTATGGCTTATTTGGAAACTTGAAATTGAATGAAATAACAAGAAAAAAAATCTAAGAACTTAAGGAAGAGCTAATCTGAAAAGAAAGTCTAAAACTTAAACTAAGTAATCCAATTACAAGCAACCAAAATATTGAATATACAAATTATTTAGCATTATGATAATAATTTGCCACATGAATGGCTCACCCTGCAATTCAGAAACGGTGTATGAGCCTATGAGTTGTTGATCTAATTGGCCAAGAATATAACAACCCACTCCAGTGCTCAAACCTGGATTTGCATTAGAACCGTTCAGGTCGCCTACGAAATTCAGAAGAAAAAACCCTTATTTCAATTCTCTTAACCATTTCTCTAAAACAACAAACACATATACCATGTTATATACACGTACTATAGATACAATTGTGCATAGTTAATAATTCTAACAAGTTGACTGGAAAAAAAAATGCCAAATGCAAAGTAAAAATGAAGTAAAACAATAGACGACCTGAAAGCGCCATAAAAAAATCCAGGATTGTAATAAATGAATCCAAAATCCAAAATCAAACAAAGACTCTTTTAGCCAGTTATTTCTTTGTGCAGGAGCATTCACAGAAAATTGGGGGAAGGTAAATAGAATATCTTAATTCATATGTTCTGACCTGTTACGGGTGATGGCTGTGGTTGCTGTTGAGACAACATCGTTTTCTCTTTCTTCTTGTAGTGCTTTCTGCTGCTTGTTCTGGAATAATGCAAAGAGGACAAATGGATGAAAAAATGGGGGATCGCTCCACGGAGCACGAGAAATTTATCCGCGCAGTGCGGGCAACGCACATACACATCCACACACACACAAACCCATGCCAGAACATACCTCGTTGCAGTAAGAGTGAAATACACAGAAGTACAGCGAGAAAACGAGACAACGTATTTGGAAAGCTATCAACCTCAATCAACTTGGCTATGTAGATATTTTCATAATAGTTTTCAAAAGAAGTACACAATTCGCAAAACATTTCCAGAAAACATACTTTTATAATCTCGATTTGGTATGGCAAAATGAGCAGAACATGGAATTTTAATTTTTCGCATTCAATATAGAATCAACAGTCAAGATTTTGAAGTACATGAGACCTCAACTACATTTGCAAAGAAATTTTAATACAAAAAAAAATAAAATTACATGTATCCAATATCCATAAATATTGAGGTAAAAAAACAACACAATTCCAGCTCAAATACATTATCAATTAAAATAAATATTTAAAAATACAAATGATTATGAATATGAACAAATTGTACATAGAGAATACCATATGTTAAGGCACGACAAATGTTTCTACTTCTCTCTAATATAAGAGATTTACCTTTAGCTACTAAAGCATTTGGCTGTTTACGCTCTTCACGGTCGCTACCATTATCCTCATCTGAAAAACTTATCACAAATGGCACGAACAACCCTCGATTTTTTTCAAAACTCTTGTGATGGCTAGAATGCAAAGTGGCTCTTGTAGGTAAATCAACTAAAGGAACCAGCGTTCCCAACTCCATTGCATTTAATGCTGTCAATACTTAACTTGAATTATCCGCTCTATTCACATTTTCCGTCAAATTAGTCTCCTGTTCCACAACCACCATAGACACATAGTACCATCCACATTTTCACTTCTTGCACTTTTGGTATTTTTAAGATTAGTATAATGGAAGTTGGACGGGAGGTAGGGACGAGATAGGTGACCGTAGTGTCTTCTAGGATAGAGGGAGATCAGATCGTGGCGGCTATAGAGGTAGAGGAATGGGTATGGGAGGTTTTGGAAAGAGAGATGGACCTGACATGGAAGGAGGATTTCGTGGTAGGGGGTGGTTTTAGAGGCAGGGGTGTAGTGATTGGAATAACAGAAATGATTATGGTGATGACAAGATGTACGACTGGAAAAAAGGTTCAAACGATAACAGTGAAGGAGGAAAAGTGGCAGCATTGGAGGCGGTTCATTTCAAGGAGGAAGTTGGAGTTCATGTTGGAATCAATCAAAAGGAGATGTGGATGGTGTAGGTAACACTCAAGCTGTTAGAGGATGGAACTATTCAGCGGATGCTAAAATAGATTATGGTCAAACCAGTGCTGGAGGCAGTGAGTGGAAAACATAAAATGCTTCTGCTGGGGATGTATCTACTAGATGGGGGCAACCATCTGGTCAGAGGGATACAGTTGGTTGGAAAAAAGAATCTGCTTCAGGAAACCAGAACACGACTGAGAAATGGAAATTTGATGCTACAGATGGGGGCTTATCTAAAGAATTTAACAAAGTTGAACGACCTGTCAGTAGTTCATGGGGTAAATGTGCAGGAAGCTCTTGGAGCTAAAAACTCGTTTGCTGATGAGGACAAATCAGAAGCCATCGATGGTTGGAAAACTAAAGTATCCAATAAAGGTGAAGAATCACCACCGATGGTCAACCTACAACAAAGACATCGGGAAAATAAAAATATTAGTAAGAAACAGTACTGATATTTTTTTATTTTTTAAAGAAAAGCATGCACATAGTTTAATGAGAATTTTACTGGAAAAATTTCATACAGAGTAAATTTATGTATATTCTTGTGAAAGAAAATCCTATATTTAATTAACCTTGAGTGAGATTTGGTCCTAGGATTGGATCCTAGATGATGGATAAACATCTACCTATTAAACCAGCTTCGATTTCAAAAGTAACTTTATGATGTATTTACATTTCCAATCACTTTTTAGTTAGTTTTTGGGTCTATTAAACATCTTATAGTCATGTGGTTTAAGAAGCACACTATTGTGTTTTCTTATTTTAGGGTAACAACAAGGTTTTTGATTCATTGAATAATTGTTAATTATATTATATTGATATAGCTCTGCTAGGGACTATTTTGCCCTGGAAACTTGAAATCTTTCACAGCATGATAATTGATAAACAAGGTTTTAACTCAACTCTTTTTTGTACTTTAAAAGAGGGAAAAAAAACTGTTTAACAGATAACTCAAAGTTATACAAACAATTTCATATAATAGTAATACATACCTTCATTAAGATTATGTAGGATTTGCATTGTGTCCATCCTACCATCTGAGGTTCATTTTTATGTCACAAGATGGCACTACAAAAGCACAATTAACATATTACCAAATAAAAATACAGTTGAATTAAGAAAGGAATAAATATCTGTAAAATGAAGAAAATGGGTCAAAACCATGAAAGAATCATAAAAGAAAATCAAAGATGTATCCATCAAAATCAAGAAATTACTGGAATACTCTGCAAACAACAAGCTTGATGCCCATAAAGCATTATCACCAACAAAGAGAAATTACTAAGTCACCTGA